ATAATTCTATCACAAATAGTTTTATCTGTTATCTTCATACATTCAAACAATCAATGATTTTACACATATTTCAAACCTGATTATTATCACAACTAAATAGATAAGAAAGTTTTAGGAAAAAGAATTTACTTATTTACACTTCCAGAAAACTCCACAAATTGGCAGTTCACAGTATCAACAAATGAATTAAGTACTATATATTCATTGGGGCTAGAAGAGATTTAGATACAAATAGAGAATTGGGAAATCGAACTGATTAAACAGGCCATACAATCAGAGGAGCATATGATAGATCTAATAAAGAGTCTTAGATACAACTATAAAAGCAATACAAAGCAATTTACTTTTTTTACTGACAGATCTTACAAGCAATGTACAAAAAGCGAGGATGAACTTGAAATGGATCTTGCATAGATTCAAATTGAAAACAATAAAATAATCTATCAATTCTCAGTAGAGGCAATATCATGACCATCAACTATAAAAGTAGAAATCCTAGCCATACTTATAGCAATCTTTACAATATCTAAAAATAGAAAAGCAACCATATATACAGATTGTAGTGCAGCCATCAAAATATAGAGAATAATCCAGTTGCAAAAGTTTATTCCATAAGAAAATAGACTAAAATAATCAACTGGTTACTATGAAACCAAATCAAGAACCTAGTACAAAAGAAAAACTTTACCTTATACTTGAAAAAATTAAGATCCATCAAAACAATAAGTTCAACAACATAGTAGAAAGGTTAGCAAAGCAGGCCAGAAGAGAAAATCCTTTGACTTGGCAACAAACACCTGATCTGAGTCAAGTTCTCACAATAGTAGCCTGAAAAGAATATACTATTGATATCAGTATTAGAGATTTTCTTAAAAAATGAAACACTAAGAAAATAGGACTAGCCTGGATGGAACAAAAACATATTCAAGACCAATAAATACACCTTAGTAAAGAAATTGACTGGCAAATTTTCTGGAAACAATTCAATCCATATAATACCTTTTACATATCCTTTAGCATCAACAAGAACAAGAATTTTCTGGTAAACCTAATCCATGATGAGCTTCCTACCCTTCAAGTAATGCAGAAAAGAAAATCAAACTTATATTCAAGTACAATATACTCAATGTACAATTTACAAAAGGAAATCTTGAAACATTTTTTTGAATGTCCCAAGACCCAAAGTGAAAGATCAATTATATGGGACAAATTTTAAAGTAAAATCCTTCAATATATCAGGAAAACAAAAGATCTATCTGACGAAAGCCAAGTAAAAGTTAAAAGAGTAACAGGAAAATGGATCCAGAACATTAAACAATAGGATAAAAGCCTATATAATACAGTCAGTGATTTTATACATAGAGACAAGACTAAGATCCTGGAAAAGTACCTCAAAGCCCTCAAGATACTAGCAACAACAATACAAGAGGCTATTGATAAATTTTGTAAAAAAATGAAGAAGATCTTCAAGAAAAAAGTCTAAAACAAATATTATAACATTACTATTGAATAGGAACAAAACCAAGAAATTATCAATAAACTCAAAAGGCTTAAAGTATCAACTGATACAACTAGAAAAATAGATCAAGTCCTTAAGAAAGCCAATCACTCCTTTATTTGTTTCTCCAGAAATACAATAGAAGAAAAAGAAAACTCAGAATGAATGAAATCCCAATGCAATATAGTAGATATAATAAATAGTTGGATATCCAAAGGTTTTAAATGGTTTGATTTTTAATCACAGTTAGAACTTCGGGAGATCTATAGTGATGAGCTGTAGGCAATGATCTGAGTGTCTAGAGGATAATCCAAACCATAAAGGAAACGAAATATCATTTCCTAAGTTGCATCTAGAGAAGGTTAAACTTTGTAAATGGATAAGTCAATATGTGAAAGTCATAAAATATGTAAATATCAAATATGTTTACAATAAAATGGACAAGCCATATTGGCCTGACTGCGGGTTAAAAAAAAAAAAATCAAATTTAAGGAACTTCTCTGATGCCACTATATAAATTAATCGGGATTATGTATCACGTGAACCGTGTAACGTCGGATTAAATAAATAAATATTGTTTAGAAGTTTTTCTGCAAATGCTTTTATCGAAAACTTTAATTATATCTCTGGAGAAAAATTTCTGGCAAAAATGTTTGAATTCTTCAGCTCGAAATTACTCTATAATGTCAAGAGCAAGAAAGTTAAGAGGATTGTCGCCGATAGATGAGGAAAATTTATCTCCCGACAAACCGGACTTATTGCAAACGTCCATGAAGCCAGTGGCACCTGGATTTATCGAAAGGAATTCTTATCCATCGTCTTCTCCTAGCTCATCCATATCGATTTCGTCAATGTCAAATTCATTCGAGCTCAGAGAGCTTGGAAAAGTCCGAAAAAGAGATGCCTCTCCGGAAACAATTAAATCAGTTATAAATAATATGTTTTATAAGCGCAAGTCAGTTATGAATCATAGTGTTATAATGTCACCGCAATCTCTATCGGATATAAACAATGATCATGTGATAGGCTTGCAGAATGATAAATTGAAGGAGATCAATTTGGAAGAATTGAAGTCATCATCAGTGAAAGGAGATTCAATACCGGAGGCGGAATTGCGTCAAGATAGATCAATAAATTTGGAGGAGAGTAATGTAGAAGAAAACTTTTGGAAAAAAACTAATTTGGAACAAGGACAAACTCAAGAAGCAGCAGCCGTAAAAAATGAAAAGTCATTTCATCCTATGAAAATTCGACCCGCCGGTAATTTATTGTTGTAATTGCACTAATTCCTGAGCTTTACAAATAACATTTATTCCTTGTTGACGTACATAGGAATTGAAGAGAAATTGCCAAAGATAATCGGAAAATTCGTGCAACCAGAAAATCCAAGATTGTTGAAAGTTGCAGTGTTAGGAACACCAAATGCAGGTAAATCAACATTATTAAACGCCTTGCTGGGTGAAACGGTAAGAACGGGATAAATTGGCATATTGCTAATCAGATACACTAATATTGACGGAACATATTTTTTGCTAGGTTTCGATAGTATCTGAAAAGGCGCACACAACTCGAGAAAGGATTTTAATGGTGTTGACAGAAGGAAATATGCAAATAGTAAGTAAACTTGCAATTTTGTCTTTTAGTTTTTAATGCATAAATTTCGAAAAAAATTATTAGATATTTTTAGATACTCCTGGAACAGTCATTGGTCGCAATAAGGCGAGATTTAATCGCATATTGGTGAACGCGTCATGGCAATCCTTGTTTGAAATAGATCATGGTAGTACAAATATTTATTATTATACTTTATTATTCCTATTATTTTTATTATGCTCATTTGTTTTGTCCTATTTAAAGTTTTGGTAATTGTCGATTCATACAGGGCAGAGCATCAAAGCACATATAGTGAAAGCTGCATGCTTGATAGGTTAAAGGACTATGAATTACCCTCTACTTTGGTATTAAATAAGGTAAAGCATAATGGGAAGTGTAGATAAATAAGTTACACAGATTGCATAGTTTTGATTCGCTCATTTTTATTAGATTGACCTATTACCTCAAGCGAAACGTGTGAATATGTTACTAAGCTTGGAAGAGAAATTTAAGAATCAATATTCTTTCTTCAAAGAAACTGTTTTCATCTCAGCGCTCGAGAGAAGAGGGTTGGATAAGTTGAAAGTATGTATTTGCTGACAATAACAACCAGGATAGGATGTCGATTTAGTAAATGAATTTATTAATGTATTCGTTATTTATATTTCCGTTAATAAAAGGAAATCCTATTTTGGCATTCATATGATCAAGAATGGGTATACCCAGCAGACGTCAAGACTGAGATGGCCGATTTAAAGAGAGTCGAAGATCTCATCAGATGTGAATTGTTGGATAATTTACAAAGCTATTTGTCATATATTGTTAAGCAGGTTAATGATTTTACTTTCTCTTCTGCACGTTTTTCTCCACAATCCTTCGAGAGACTTTGATGCATGTAAAGACAAGGCAAATATGTGCGCGAATGGCTACATATGATCGCATAGTTCAAAGTGTAATGAATATTTTTACGATTTCTTTGAATAGGAAAACGAAGGATGGACTTTGCTCTCAAATGGCACTCTAAGAATCGATCAAACATTGTACGTCGAACGTGAATCTCAACAGGCAAGTTATTCAATGTGTCGTGAGTGGTTAACAAGCAAATATCATTAACGGAACCCCGATTCACGTTAATTGTTTTATTTTCTCATTTTCCAAATCAATTAGAGAATTATAATAGGTAAAGAGGGTAAAACAATTAAATCAATAACAAGGAAAGCCAATAAAGCGATGGTGAATGCATTTAAGAGGCCAATCAAGTTATATTTAACCTGTAAGATTAAGAATGAAGAGGATATTCGGAGGAGCCTCTGATTTGTAATCTGGAATTGAAGTGGGAGTTTATAAAGGAGGAATTTTGTTTATTTTCTAGTTTTTATTTTGAATTTCGAAAAAAAGAAGCAATTCGAGACGTGTAATTTAGTTTTACGTTAAACAGATAATATGGTGCCTATTCAAACATTACACAAAATTAACGATTGTATCAGCCAGTCATATTATAAAATGCAATGATTATTACTTGAGTGTTGTAGTTTCTGGATTAAAGGGAACCCGCATATTAAGAAGTGTGTCATTGGGAGGAAAATTTTTTATTGGATACCGGATAATCGAAAATTATGGTTTTACAAAAAAAGGAATCTGTTATTTAATGTGTGACAATGTAAATATACTAAAGGTTTGTCAAACTTTGATTGGATTTGTGGAGTTAGATTCCAAGCCTCTCACTCAAGAATTTAATTACATATCAATTATTCTTTTAATACCAATTTAACTCCAACAAAAACTCTTGAGCTCACAACCTTATGCAATTCGAGAGAACAAGAAACAATATGGACGATCTTCCAATAAGATTTCAGGAGTTCTGCCAGGTATTGCATCTCGGTTACGTGTATTCGCGCTGTGCGCTGATTTCATCTCGAACAACAAACCTCTGAAAGTTCAGTTGTAGAACTAATTCGCCAATGTCACACGCTATTAGCTCACAGACCTAGGAGTCAACCCGGCAAGCATCGGATTCAACTATTTAACAATGGAGTCTGACCGTTTCATATGTGTGCGTGAAACATTGGAAACCGCAAAACAAGTTGTCATAGTTGATCTCAATGATCTCCAAAACGTTATGAAACGACCAATCACGGCAGATTCTGCAATAATGCATCCCACTTCCAAGATCCTGGCTTTGAAATGTAAAATGTGTTTTCTTCTTTTTTTTTTTTTAAATCATTCTATTCAACTGACCAACGAATTGTTTTTATACCGGTGGAATATTAGCTCAAAAACAGCTTCAAATTTTCAACCTTGAGTTGAAAGCAAAGGTTAAATCTCACTTGATGAGTGAAGATGTGGTATTTTGGAAATGGATTAATATCAAAACGTTAGGACTTGTAACGTCAGCTGCCGTCTACCATTGGTCGATAGAAGGAGAGTCAGCACCGATGAAAGTTTTTGATAGGCATGTGAGCCTCTCTGGCTCTCAAATTATCAATTATCGAGTAAACTCGGATGAAAAATGGATGGTCCTTATTGGTATATCGGCGGCAGCGGTTAGTTTCATATTTATTATTTATACATTATGGTTTTCCGTATCTAACCTGATGTAATAATTATGCAGGACCAAAGGGTTGTTGGAAACATGCAACTATTCTCGAAGGATCGTCAAGTTAGTCAACCTATTGAAGGGCATGCCGCGGCATTTGCTACAATATTGTTGGAAAATGGTGTTTCTCCAACAAAGTTATTTGCATTCTCCGTAAGAAATTCAAGTGGCGCGAAAGTAATTTTTGACTCGATTTTATTTATTTATCTGTTACCTTCTTTTGAAATTTTAATGAGACCTTTTCCTAAACCTAATATTTAAGCTACATATCGTTGAAGTTGACCACAAGGATGAAAACCCTCAATTCACAAAAAAGGCTGTTGATGTCTTTTTCCCTGGCGAGGCTGGGGGTGATTTCCCTGTTGCTATGCAAGTCAGCTCAAAATATAATATCATCTTTCTTGTTACTAAGTTTGGATATATTCACCTATACGACTTGGAGAGTGGTACATGCATCTTTATGAACAGAATAAGTAGTGATACGATCTTTGTAACTACGGAACACGAGGCGACCAGTGGAATCATCGGTGTTAATCGAAAAGGCCAGGTTCGCAAATCCCAGTTTATTTCTTTGATCCGATCGTGAAGGTTGAATTCATGTTATTTTTAACATCATCAGGTGCTGTCCGTCTGTGTAGATGATACCAAAATTATTCCTTACATAATTAATACACTTAATCATCCGGAATTGGCGATGAGGATAGCAACGAGGTGCAATTTATCAGGTGCAGAAGATCTTTATGTGCAAAAGTTCACGGGCTTATATCAACAGGGTGCATATAGCGAAGCTGCCAAGGTGGCAGCTAATTCTCCGTTGGTTCGTTCAAGTCTTTTACGACAACTTTTAAACAACGTTATATCCGTTCAATTCTAATTAATAACCTTATACTTATTAGGGTGTTCTTCGTACGCAACAAACGATTGAATTTTTTAAGGCAGTTCAGGTGCCGCCGGGCCAACTATCTCCGATCTTGCAGTATTTTGGTATCCTCTTAGAGAAGGGTGAACTTAATAAGTACGAATCCTTGGAATTGGCGCGACCTGTCTTGGCTCAAGGCCGTAAGCAATTGTTGGAAAAATGGCTAAAGGAAGATAAAGTACTGTCTTATTTATACGACGACCACATTTGCGATTGCAAAGTACTGACTATACTTTTGTTCAGTTGGAATGTAGTGAGGAACTCGGCGACGTAGTTCGTCAACATGATCTCACCTTGGCTTTATCGGTATACCTTCGCGCCAATGTACCGAACAAGGTGAATATGAATCCTGCAATCTAGTAGGTGATGCCTAAATGGATGTAATATTAACGCTTGTGTCGATCATAGACTATCGCATGTTTTGCCGAGACAGGCCAATATTCTAAGATCATCCTTTACGCAAAGAAAGTTGGATTTCAACCTGATTATTTCACGCTTTTGCAAAAAATCATGAGACTTGATCCCGAAAAAGGTGGTGAATTTGCTGCGATGCTGGTTAATGATGAGAATGGACCTTTGGTCGAGATTGAACGTGTAAGAAGACTGTCATTGGTCGCATCTCGGTATTTAAAGTTATCGTGTCTGGTGTTCCCACTTTACCTCATTTCGATCTACTCACCTATAGGTCGTGGACGCCTTTATGTCACAAAACTTGGTTCAACAAGCAACCGCATTCTTGTTGGACGCTCTAAAAGATAACAAGCCGGAGCAAGCACACTTACAAACCAGGTTACTTGAAATGAACTTACTGAATGCTCCACAGGTTGCCGATGCGATTTTCAGCAATGGAATCTTTACTCATTATGATAGAGCATCCATTGCTTCACTTTGTGAAAAAGCTGGTCTGTTACAAAGGGTGAGCAAATTCGATAAATGAAATTTATGTTTTCTTAATAACCCTGGTCTCGAGACTTATCCTTGCATATATATCCTAGGCCTTGGAACATTACACTGAACTCACTGATATAAAGCGTTGCATCATTCATACTCAACTTCTAGATACAGAAGTGAGTCATTCCCGTTCATTTTCTTCGAATAACAGCAGGTTTTTGTTGTTAACGTTTGATTCCTTGATATCGTTAGTTTTTGATAAATTACTTTGGTAATCTGTCGGTCGAACAATCCTTCGAATGTTTGAATGAGATGCTTAAATTCAATATTCGACAAAACTTGCAAATCGCGGTTAAAATTGCCACAAAATATTCGGAGCAACTGCAGCCTTATAATTTGATCGAGTTGTTCGAAAGATACAAGGCCTACGAGGGTACATCGCGATTTTTATGCAATTAAGCCTGCCTTGAAATTTGCTTACATATTCCTTCTTTGCACAGGTCTGTACTACTATCTTGGGTCTATCGTGAATATTAGCACCGATCCAGATGTTCATTTCAAGTACATTCAGGCAGCTGTGAGGACTGGGCAAATCAAAGAAGTCGAAAGAATATGCCGTGAAAGTCAGTGCTATGACCCTGAAAAAGTGAAGAATTTCCTGAAGGTATTAAGATAGATCACCCTTTCATTTAATAAGGATATTTCTTATTTCTAATTTGTTCTTTTATCTAACTCGAATTTCAGGAGTCTAAACTCACTGATCAACTTCCCTTGATTATTGTGTGTGACCGATTTGATTTTGTTCATGACCTGGTTTTGTATTTATACCAACAAGGTCTGACAAAGTACATCGAAGTCTACGTACAAAAAGTTAATCCCGGTCGCACCCCGGTAGTCATTGGAGGCCTTCTTGACGTTGACTGTGATGAGACGATAATCAGGGGTCTTCTGATGTCTGTTACGGGCCCTGTACCTATTGATCAACTCGTCCAAGAGGTCGAAAAGCGTAATCGACTTAAACTTCTTCTGCCATGGTTAGAACAGCGTGTTAATGAAGGAAGTCAGGATACCGCTGTTTATAATGCGCTAGCCAAGATTTATATTGACAGTAATAATAACCCTGAAGCTTTCTTAAAAGATAATGCGGTAAGAAATCGGATGGCTTTGTCAGAATTGGTTTGTGTTTTCTCAAACTCAGAATATTCTTAATTCATTCATATCATGTCGACAGTTCTATGATTCTCTTGTCATTGGCAAATATTGCGAAAAACGCGATCCGCACCTCGCATTCATAGCTTACCAACGTGGCCAGTGTGATTATGAGCTCGTTAAAATCACAAACGAAAATTCGATGTTTAAGCACCAAGCGCGATATTTAGTAAAGCGTCGTGACGTAGATCTCTGGGCACACGTCCTTGATGCGAACAATATTTATCGCAGACAGCTGATTGATCAGGTAATGATTGTTTTTCAGAGTGTAAACAAATAAAATGCTTACTTATCAATGTTCTTTTGTTATTAGATAAACGCGGTTGCTCTTCCTGAATCAATAGATCCGGATGATGTTTCCGTCACCGTTCAAGCCTTTATGGCTGCCGACCTTCCACTGGAGTTAATAGAACTGTTGGAAAAACTTATCTTAGAGAAAACTGCTTTTAGTGATACCAAACCCCTCCAAAATCTCCTCGTCCTCACAGCGATTAAGGTGTGATTTTCCCCTAATAAGTTTATTTTATTTTACTTTATTTTTTTCTTGCAACGTCATTATCGTTAATCTATTCGTCAAAATTCCTACAGGCTGATGCTGCCAAAGTGATGGATTACATACATAAGCTTAATAATTTTGACGCCCCCGAAGTTGCCGAGATCGCTATCAAGCATAATTTATATGAAGAAGCATTTGCGATATATAAAAAATATTCGGAAAATACTAGCGCCATAAATGTATTGATTGAACATATTGGCAGTATCGATCGTGCGTCCGAATTCGCCGACAAATGTAATCAACCGGAAGTGTGGAGTCGCTTGGCAAAAGCACAAATCGAGGGTTTGAGAATCAGAGATTCGATAGGTTTGTTTGAAATCCATTGTTTCTTGATTTTTACAATTGGATATTCCGATTTTCCGCAAGTTAATCCTTGCTATTACGTGACATTAGAATCATATATTCGTGCTGACGATCCTAACAATTTCACGGAAGTTATTGACATTGCTTCTCGAGCCGGCAAACACGAGGATCTCATCAAATACTTACAGATGTGCCGAAAAAAACTTCGTGAACCTTTGGTTGATAGTGAATTACTGTTCTCATTTGCAAAGACGGAACGGTTCAATGATCTCGAAGAATTCCTTAATACACCCAATGTTGCGCAAATACAATTAATCGGGGATCGATGTTATAATGATGGTCTATATGCATCTGCAAAAATCTTGTTTCAAAGTATTTCAAATTGGGCTAGATTGGCTTCCACCCTAGTGCACTTAGGGGAATATCAAGCTGCCGTCGATGGTGCCCGCAAGGCCAGCAGCACAAGGTAAGCCGAGCATTGTATTGCACTTTGTACTGAACGATTCTGGTATTAACTGTGACCGTACAACCATCGTCAGTGTTTGGAAAGACGTTAACCATGCCTGTGTGCAAAACAAGGAATTTCGATTGGCACATATCTGTGGTCTCAACCTAATCGTGCACGCAGAAGAATTGCATGTTTGTTGTTTTATTTTTTCTTCACAGTCGGCATTGTCAACTTGCTCACAATTGTGTCATCTATATTTAGGATGTAATTCGGTTGTATGAGCATAATGGTTACATAGATGAAATATTGAGCTTGCTTGAAGCCGGATTAGGGCTGGAAAGAGCTCATATGGGAATGTTTACCGAGTTGGCAATCCTTTATACAAAATATCGACCCGAGAAAACTGATGAACACATACGCCTATTCTGGTCTCGACTTAACATATCGAAGGTTATTCGAGCTTGTGATGAGGCTCATTTATGGAAGGAAATGGTGTTCTTATATGAAAATTATGATGAGTTTGATAATGCCGCCCTTTCAATGATGACTCATGCTGCCGATTCTTGGGATCACTCACGATTCAAAGAAATTATTATCAAAGTTAGCAACCTCGAGATTTATTACAAGGTAGATTCAAGACCAACTTTCACAACTTTTTTTTTTTTTTTTTTTTTTTTTTTTTAGTGTACCTCCCTTGAACTAACGATTGTCTATATATTTCTTGATTCGTAGGCGTTGAAGTTTTATTTGGATGAACATCCTCTTCTCCTCAATGATTTGTTGGTCTCTTTAACGCCGCGAATTGATCATACCAGAGTTGTTCACATGTTTCAAAAGTCCGATAATCTGCCATTGATCAAGTCATATCTGATATCAGTACAAGAGGTTTGCGTTCATTCTGTGTATATTATTTATCGAAACACAAACTTCACAATTTCAATTGGTTTAATAATGGGCGAATCTTTCTAGACGAATAATGAAGCCGTAAACAATGCGTATAATGACATACTGATCGAGGAAGAGGACTACAAGTCATTGCGGGATTCTATCGACAATTTCGACAAATTCGACAATATTAAGTTGGCTCAAAGACTTGAGAAACATGAACTCTTGGAATTTCGTCGTATTGCAGCTCACTTATACAAGAAAAACAAACGATGGGAGCAATCAATTGCTCTGTCCAAGGAAGACCGCTTGTTCAAAGACGCAATTGAAACTGCCAGTGAATCTCGTTCGACTGAAATCGCCGAAGAACTTTTGGAATACTTTGTGCAGATTGGGAATAAGGAATGCTTCACCGCCGCTCTTTACACATGCTACGATCTTGCTCGGCCAGATGTGGTGTTGGAATTGTCCTGGAAGCATGGTCTTAGCGATTTTGCTATGCCATATTTGATCCAGGTTATGCGTGAATACGTCACAAAGGTAAATTGAATGTAAAGTGGTTAGGTCTGTTATCTATTTGCCAAAGATGATATTCTAGATGAGTTTGGATTTTTTTCCAGGTGGATACGCTAGAAAAGGCTAATGCTGAAAGAACTGCCAAAGAACAGGAGCGAGAGAAAAGTGAAAATGGCAAGTTTCAAATTACAATATTAACTGTCTATTTTACGTGATAATATTAATAAGGTTGAATTACAGAAGCTCCAATGATGCGTCCAATCGGGTTAGGAAATCCACTTATGCTTACCCAAGGGCCCGGACAAGGGTACGTCTTTATTTTAGAATACTTGTCGAGAATATTAACTTTATTGAAAAAAAATCTAAATCTTTTCGTTTGATAGTATCACTCCTCAGGGATTCGGATCACCCTCTTATAATGCTGGTTACCAAGGTTTCTAAAAGGAATGATTAAAATAACGATGTGAGATTAATGAGGTTAATGGAATTGACCATATTCTTCAAATTTCAATTAGAAAATTTGTATATGTACATATATAGTAATGCTAGATTTGTTTGGGGATATAAATCATTATCTCATTGTATTTTAAAAAAAATAATTACTTAAAACAAAAGTAAATTAATATTTTTTAGAATGTTTTTATTTGCGACTATCTGGATAATTATTTTTGAAGGCACTAAATGTGATTTTTCGGTAATGCAAATTTTAGGATCTCAATTATAGCTTCCAAAAATGTGAATTGAGCTGAATTAGGTTATGGTGGGGTCAACCGAGTCGACTTAGTTATTATTTTCAAAAGATAAAATTAAACTAAGAAAGGAATTCCATCTCATCCTTTATTTGACTTTTAAGAATAAAATATACGTGTTAAAATCAAATTGAAAGCGTAAACATTAAATTAAAAAATTTTTCACCAAGTAAATAAAATTATCAAAATAGTTTAGTTTAAAATTTATTGCTTTTTTAGATATAAGAATTTTCATAGATTTTGTATTATTAGACAAATTATTTTTTAATTCACATATACAATATTATATTGACTATTCATAATTAACTCATTATTGATTAAAGAATTACAATACTTTATTAATAAAACAAAGTTTTAATTAGTATTTTAAGTTAAATTTAAAACCATATTTAACTTTTATAATTTTTTTTTTTTTAAACACTAGCTTATTCTTGCACCAGTTCGTGTGCTTTATTAAAATCAAAATATGTCCTAGAGATAACTGGGATGAGTAATCACCTTTACTGTCTAAGGATTTACAGATCATCTAATAGTATAAAGGGCATCTATCTATGTTTTATTCAATCAGAATAGGGTAACTACATGATTATTTAGTATAGAACTATCTTTTACTTCTAACTATAGAAATTGGAGAGTTCACATATTCACATAATCCCAGTCATAAACTTACTGCCAGAAGTAGTACTTCCTAGGACTTGACTCATTAGATAACTTGTTGCTATTCCTTATGAGAGAGGCTAATGTGTCAAGAACTTACCTAAAATACTTAATATCACTGATATTGGAAATCTCTTATATGAGAAAATTTCATTAACACTGAAAAAAAAAAAATTTTTTTTTTCTTCTCTAGGAACTTGTCTTTCTTATGTTGCAGCCTGTTTTGTTGCTTAAAGGAGATTCAATCTTGTGTGAAGGATATCATATAACTCAGTTTCTTACTTTTATTTAAAAATTATCTTGTATCTTTAGTATTATACTAGACTGGGACCTATCTTATTATAGGCAATTTTCTATAGGTAAAAAGATTCTTTTTCTTTTATTATAGTCAAATGAATAGTCTAAGTCAAATGAATACTTTTTTGTATCAAGAGATGTAATGGTATTATGTCCTATATTCACCCACACCAGACACAAATAACTTATGGTAAATTCCAAGTTCTTATAAGACTGGAAAAATGTATTCAAACATGTGTAATGGTCAATAGAAGCTTGTTTATCAATATGTTTCATGTCAACCAATCAAAATTGATGGGATTTGTGCTACCCACGAATTCAGGATCAAGCTGAAATAGATAAAATTTCCCAAAAAGCTGTAAAGTGATAGCTCTTAGAGGCTACACAGCTAGTTAAAGGAAAAAATTTGAACCCTTTAACTAGAAAAAAATACACTATTATTTCCTGTTTCTCTACTTAAGGAGAGTAGTAACAGATACTTCATTGATAATCTTTCTCTCTTTAAAAACTTTCTTATTATTAATAGTAAAGATAGGAACTGAACTTTTTAGGTCACAAGAGTTTAATTTGTCTAAAGATAATTGTAAATAAGAGAAAGAGGTGAGGTGACTCCTGAAGATAATCTTTAGTTTGGTTTAAGAATAGTATTAAGACTTTGTTAGCAAAAAAGTATAAAACTTCTTACAAATATCTTTTTTATATATAATTAAAGAATTAATGAAAAGAAATTTAATAATAGGACTCTTTCCACTGATCCTCTAACCATACACAAAAAAGATGTTTGCAAGAAGTTTTTATACTTCCTTGCTAATAAAGTCTTAATACTTTCCTTAAAATAACTTGAAGTATAACTTCAAGAGTCACTTCTACCCTTTCCCTATTGTTTACAAACCTCTTCACTCAAAAACTTGATTCCTAGTAATCAAGAAAAGTCAAGCAATACCTTTGATACCAATGGCAAGAAAGTTCCCAAAGGAAGAAGAACTGACTAT